GGCTTTAAAAGAAGCTATTGATCTCATGCTTGTGTGCGCCTGTTGTGCATGTAGTTTGGTCGCAATGCTTTTAAGATTTGTGCAGATTAATTGATCTGGTGTAACTTTATTTTGATGTGCAAGACATATCATTATTGGTTGAGGAGATAACAAAAATTCACCATCATATATGAAATTGGATAATTTATTGTACATTTGTATATAAACGTGTCAATGTTCAAATATACCACAATTTAATATTAATTACTTATTTCATTTCTTTTATAAATCATTTACAATATTTTCACCGCAATTAAAGAGCGGTTTAAAACTAGTTAACTCTATAAGAAAATTAACGATTTTTATTTTTTTATTTTTTTCTGGTTAATCCCATTCTTTAGAAGTTGCATATAAACAACATTAAGTAAAAGTAATATAAAAAATGCAACAAATATTTTATACAATACTTTAGGCTAAAGTATACATTCAATCTTTTAATTTTGTACAATATTTTAATTTAGTTCCTTAACTTTAAAAAGCATACATTTAGTCCTTTAATCCTAAAATTATTAGGTTTCCATAATTTTTTTTTGTAATAATTATGGATATTTTGAAAATTAAACTCAATATATTAGCATTTCTAAATATTTTATTAATATTTAATATCATAATCTCATGGTTTTTTAAAAACTTTTTGGAGTTAAAGGACTAAAAGTATATTTTTTAAAGTTAAAGGATTAAATTAAAATCTTGTATAAAATTAAAGAACCAAATATATACTTTACCCAATACTTTATTAAAAGGACAAAAAAAAAACAAATATTCTTAGAGGGAGTGAAAAATAAAAGTTTGTAGGCAGCTTTTATCAAAATAGGGAATACTTTAGATTGATGTTCCCCACTGTATTGACTAGACAAGGCCATGATTTGAGGACTTTGAATTTCGGCCATCAAGCAAGCATGTTATTCGATGGTCGTGGATAAGGTAAGCACGTGAAGAACATAATGAGAAGATTAGGGCATGAGTTCATTTTAAAATAATAAAAAAATGATAGTTTTTTTTTTTTTAATTACTAGTGTTGTTCAAATACTATCAATTTTTTACATCAACACCAATTAATTTTAAATTTAATTAATTTTTTATGGCCCTATGGCAGCCCCTATATGCTAGTTTCAATTAATTTCCTTTTTAAACAAGTTTATATACCTTTAAAATTCATAATTTGATTTTTTTGTATAATATTCTTAAATTTGTTTGACGGTGTAATGTGGAGAACCAAACTAGTTTTCTTCTTTTTTTTTGCCAGAAAACCAAACTAGTTTTGATTTGTCCACGTTTATTGTTATTTTCATTATAATTTATTGGCGGGTATCTTGAAAGTAATTTCAATGTTACATAAAGTAAGTTGATGTTTTTTCCATCCAATGAATAAAATAAAATGGTTGAGACTTGAGGGATGTCAAAAAGAAGTTGGCAAAAGAAAAGGCCAATTAAACTAAGTTATCTAAGGGTGAAGTATTCAATGCTAGACAATTAGATTATAAAAAGCCAAGTAAAGTTCATACCATCACAAATGTGCTCCCTCCTCCTGTTCACAATACATAAGCATCAAATACTTCGTAATTTAAAAAGTTAGTTAAAAATGACTAAAGACTATAAATATATAAACAATATATATTATTTTCTTAAATTATTCTTATTTATGGAGATTGTGTGTAGGAGAGAAAATGAGTGAAAAAAGAGATAAAAGAGACATAAAATTCATTATGAATAAAAAAAATACATTAAATGAACCACTAAATCTCAAATGAAGCTTATAAATTAAAAAAAAAAAAGATCATTTCAAGCGTATGAGGCTTATATTTTGAACCAAAGGGAGTACCAATTTAATTGATGAATACAAAGGAGATGACTACTATATATGTGCATTCTAATGAAAAAGAAGAAAATGTTAAAAATGAATAAACTCTTAAGATATTTTTGGTAATCCACTTATCAGCTAAAAAAATTATTGAAAAAATTGATATGAGTATATCAAATTAATCTACTTATCCACTAAAAAATTATTGGGAAAAAACGAGAAATCATAAGTTGGTAAATCATGACAAGATGAAGCATGATTGTTTGTTAATCTTGATGTTGCGAGATTGTGCTCATTTGTACCGAATAACGTCCACTATAATTATTATAAAGATTGTTTTCAATTTTTCTCCTCCTTTTGACTTAGAAAAATAAAAAAGTGGTTAAAGTAAAGTATGACAAAAAATACTGATAATAATTCGATGTGGGCAGTGGCCCTGAAAAAAAAAAATCCACTTATTAGGCGGTAGCATCAAAGACTATCTTTTGATGAAATTAGCGTAGGTTCCATGCTCACCAAATTTTAGAGATAATTTGTACTCCTCTTGTCTTAATATAAGAGTTACTTAAATAATTTAATTAAATAAATTAAATAACTCAGGTAAATTATTTAATTACAACAATTATAACTTAATCTTCTAAAATTACCCTTGTGTATTATTTTTTTCAAAAAAGTGGCATTGAATGACTAAACCGAGGAAAAAGAACATTTACGGATTAAAAAAACAATGAGAGTTAATCTATTGGGCGGCTTTTCGGAGAAAAAATCCAATAATTTTGAACATGTACTTGCATATAAATATTTTTGAAAAAAAAAAAATCATCTCTCCATTTTTCTAAACTTTAGTATAATTTTTTTAATATATATATATTCTCAATCCCTATAGTTTCACACAATTTTTAATTTTAAATTGACCTTTGCATTTCAAAATCTAGTCTAAAATTAGGTTATACGAGCTCAAACCCAAGAATCTAATTAAAGTTGGTCGAAAAGTATCATTTTCCATCAAGAATAAATATATTTTCCTAAGAAAAAAAATGTCTATAACACTAATCTAAGAGAAAGCAAATAGTGTGTGTGTGTGTGCATATAAGTGAGCCTGAAAAATTATAACATGTATCAAATGCCCATTGTAAGCCATACATATATGCTTGCTTATACACACACAAATATATAAATAAATACACACATTATGCTTGTGACTTGTGCGTGTGTGTAGGGGAGAGTAGAAATAAGGATAAGATCATATCACATAGTCAAATATGCAATGGAAAATTCGGAATCAACTTTAAGTCAGTTCATTGGAATGATTCTTCTTTTCTTTTCTTCCCCAGATTTTTTTTTTCCCAGTTTACCTGACGCTTCTATGATTCGCGCGTGTCAAAGCATTCTCATTTGCAAATTGAGAAGATAATAAAATCGAAGAATATTTTTGTTTTGTTTTCGTATTTAATTAAAATTTTTTCATATATATATATTCAGTTTATTTAATTAAATAAATAACCAAATAATTAAATAAGTTATTGTCTTATTAATTAGCTTTCCAACCTAAATTTATATAGACAATTTGAATTAATACAAATTGAATCCCTAATTTTATGTGATAAAATTAATTATTCTTTCCGGAAAAAAATATAGAAGCTAGTTGAAATGTGAGGTTGTTTAATTCGATTCTCAACATATACTTCAATCTATTTTGCGAAACAAATTTATGACTTTTTTCCTGAAGAATCATATTGATTCCGTAGATGCTAAACAACGGTTTTCACAAATGAGATAATTTATAATAAAAAGTAATATTGAATATGTATTTCAAGAAAATTAATATGTCTTTATTATAACTAATTAATTCAATTTTGTAATCGCTATAAATGATTTTTTGTCAGACTCTATATATTAATTATTTAACTCATATATTTAGGGAATATATTTTTGGATCGCAGTGGATCATGATATTAAAAGGGTGTTTGGATATCCTGAAAAGTGTTTCTTAGAAGCACTTTCCTGCAAATCGAGATAAATTCCTCCACATATTTACCTCGTAAACTATAAAATCACTTTTGAACTATGCTTTAGTTTCCATTCAACACTCCCTAAATTATAGAGAACAGGTCCGGGACAGTCATAAGTGGGACTAGGTACAATAACGACCTAACCATAATTGTCGAAAATGTTAGAAACGGTCTCTGTTACTGTCAACTGTTTCTTCCTTCTTCTTTTTTAATTCCTTTCTCTTCTTTTTTTTTTTTTTATACAAATTCCTTTCTCTTCTTGCACCAACTTTATTTTGAAAGTTAAATGCATAAATAAAAATAAATAAAATTTTTTACACTGAGAATCATAACGATAACTATACCCATTACATTTGTAACAAGATCGAAATTAATAATATTATAATAATGATAATAATATACTAATTATAAATAAAAAAATTATTATTACTTAAAATTAAAAGAATTATGTTCTTATTTTCCACAAAAATGAAATCTATATCATTTTTTTGGATACAAAAATCGATGTCGTCAATATTAGGCAAAACTTCTTATTGATTTAATTAATCAATTCACACCAGATTTCATTTTTGTTCCTTAATTTAAAAAAAATATTTTTTGGTTCTCTAATTCTAACAATAGTTTACACATAAAATTATTATTTGAAACTAATGTCGCTAGGTTAGAAGACTGTACTGAAAATTTATTTTATAAAATTAAGAGACACTAGACCAAAATAAGCATAAAATTAGATAACCAAATATATACTTTTGCTTCAAAATTAATTAATTAAATAAATGACCAGAATTGACTCAAAATGAAAATGAGAGGATCTGGAAACAAAATCATTCCATTTGAGAATATCTTTCTTTTAACGGCAATAAATATCAAGAACTTTAATTTCCTTCACGTAATAATGCAATAACGTTCCCCCCCCCCTCCCACACACACATTATTTATATTAAAAATAAAAAAGTAGATTGGTTAGACAAGCTGATAGAACAGTGCACAATAAATATGAAATTTCTTGGTCTAAGGAAAAAAGCCATGATTTGCGCCCAATTAGTGATTGGCTTTGAGGCGCTCCATAGTCAGTGTGGCTTATAAAAAGGGCAGTTCAGTTTAAGGCTGAATCATCGCAAAAGCCCTAAAGGCTCATCTCTGAAACAATATTCTCACTATTAGTTTCAGAGAGGAGGGAGCTTCTTCTGTTTGTGCTTTGTAGTTATGTTCAGATTCTTCTTCTTCTTCTTCTTCATCTTCTTCATAGCTAACAATGTTGAGGGAAACCCACATAATTACAGAGAAGCATTGGCAAAGTCATTATTGTTCTTTCAAGGTCAGAGGTCAGGGAGGCTTCCTCCACACCAGTTACTAACTTGGCGCTCCAACTCCGGCCTCTCCGATGGCCGCCTTGCCAATGTACGTTCTTTTCTATTTTTCTGGGGACATTTTAGAATTAGTGTAGGTCTTGCTTTTAATGGTTAAAAACCGGGCCAGACCGGATTCGTTAGCTGTTCGGTTTGAATCACAGAACCATTTTCATGGTTAAGCCGCCATTAAGTTAGAACTTGTAACGCCTTTTAAGATTGGTGTAGTTCATGTGCATTGCGGTAAGTCTAAAAAAACAAGTGTCAAATTATTTATAACTAATAAATCATATTGTCTGTTAAAGTTCATATACACACACACTAAATATGTATTAATGTTAATCTCATCCTAAATGATGTTGAAGGATATGTGTGCGTGTGTGTGCGTGTTCGCCATTTACCCTTAATGTGTTTGGAATTTTACTTATTCCTCAAAGTTTCAAAGAAGAATATGAAGATATTTTAATTTTCTTAAAGTAAGACATGCATTTTTATTTTTTTTTTGAAGTTTTCATGTTCAAACTAGAAAAAGTTTTTTTTTTAATTTTTATATACGCAACCCTGCACAACAAATTTGCGGAAGTAAGCCACGGAGCCACTGTGTTATACTTCCTCCGTTCCTTATTATAAGAGACAAATAACCGAAGTACGTTGATCAAAAAAACAGTTAAAGTTAGTTAAGAACAATTAATGTATAAAAAGTATAATTTTTTTCCAAAAATGCCCTCATTAATAAGGAGAGAGAGCATGAGAGAGAACAATTAAATTATTAAAAGAAAGAGAAGTGGGAGGGAGAGAGAGTGTGAGTTGGAGATAATAAATATGGGTAAAATAGTAAATCAACACAAAAAAGTAGAGACAACTTGTAAGTGTCTCTTATATATAGGAACATGGCATAAGCATCAAGTGTCTCTTATAATAAGGAACGGAGGGAGTACTAATCTAAATTACTCTTTTTTACTTCTAATAATTGTATTTATATGTATTCTTTAAAACATAAGATCCATGAACTTTTTTAAAAGCTTTGCAAAACTTGTATTATTCTTTGTCTTTTATAATTTTTTGAGATATTTTGCATTTTAGCTCATGAATATATTTTGAATAAATTAGTAAAAGGACACGGTAATTAAAGGATGTTGGACAGAAAAAAGGGCATTGCCCTAATTTTCTTAAAATGCGAGCAGTCAAAGAATGCATTGTCTTGAAGACTTCACAGATATTCTTCTTCTTCTTCTTCTTCTTCTTTTTGGAGATTGAAATTAAAATATTCCTAAAGTATTTCCATTAAAAAAAGTCAAAAAAGAAATAATCCTAAAGCAGACGAAACGAAGACTACGCAATAAAATAACAATTAAAAAAATCAGATTGCTTTATGACTTTTCCCTCTTCTCAATGAGCATGTCATGTCTTGATAACAGTTACTTTTAATCCTTTTTTCTTATCCGTGAACCTCGAGGGTTGAATATGGAGGTATTTTTTTTATATTAAAAAATCATCGTAGACTGAGGGTACATGTAAAGAATAATTTGATTTATGTAATTTGGAAAAACTGAAATAAATCTAAGTAGTTTCCTCTAAATTAAGCCAAAAAAAGTTTTTTTAAAAAAATATATTTGGCAGGTGGATCTATCAGGAGGCTACTACGATGCTGGCGACAATGTCAAATTCAACTTTCCAATGGCCTTCACCACCACTATGTTATCATGGAGCACACTTGAATATGGCCGGAGAATGGGCCCCGAAATCCAGGAGGCCCGAGCTGCAATTCGTTGGGCCACAGACTACCTTCTCAAGTGTGCCACTGCAACACCAGGCCGGCTCTATGTTGGAGTTGGCGACCCGAATGTGGACCATAAGTGTTGGGAAAGGCCTGAAGACATGGACACGGTTCGAACCGTGTATTGGGTCTCGCCTGACAAACCGGGTTCAGATGTGGCCGGTGAAACAGCCGCCGCCCTTGCTGCTGCCTCAATTGTTTTCCGTCGAGTTGATCCAGCATACTCAAAGAGATTGATGGGGACGGCTCAGAAAGTGTTCCAATTTGCTTTGCAATATCAAGGTTCTTATAGTAGTTCTCTTGGATCTGCTGTTTGCCCGTTTTATTGCTCATATTCTGGTTACAAGGTGAATTCCTAGTTTTTTTTAATTATATTTCTTAGATTTTGATATTTCTATTTTAACCAAATTGGTTTGTTAAAGAAGTATTAATTTAAATAAATTTTCTCTTGATTTAGGATGAATTATTGTGGGGAGCTGCATGGCTTTTTAGAGCAACAAATGCTGTTTATTACTATAATTTGATAAAGAGTTTGGGAGCTGATGACCAACCTGATCTCTTTAGTTGGGACAACAAGTATGCTGGTGCGCACGTGCTTCTCTCAAGGGTAAATAATAAATATCTTTGAAGTTAATTATATCTGAAAAATGCATAGTTTTACAATAATTAATATGTGTCTATATTACATATATGATTGTTTCTAATTGTTAATTAACGCAGAGAGCATTGATACATCATGACAAGAACTTTGATCAATACCAGCAAGAAGCTGAGAATTTCATGTGCAAGATTTTGCCTAACTCTCCCTCTTCTAGCACCCAATATACACAAGGTAAAGGCAACGGTATTTAGGAGAGAAAACATTTTATGAGAAATTTACTGAAATAAAAATAATCCTTCATTAATTATTTTTTCATCTTATTGAAACAATAACTAATTGAAGATATGTGGTGTTGTGTAGGAGGGCTTATGTTCAAGCTTCCTGAGAGCAATCTTCAGTATGTAACATCTATAACATTCTTGCTCACAACCTACTCTAAGTATATGTCATTTACAAAGCACACATTCAATTGTGGCAATCTCTTTGTCACTCCAAGTACCTTAAGAAGCCTTGCAAAGAGACAGGCAAGTCCTTTATCTTGGATAAGATAAGATTGAAATTCCTTGAATTATATGAAATGTAGATTTCAGTTATTAAATCTTTATGTTTTTTTTAATATTATTTATCTCTTAATTTCAATTTCTTAACACAATTTGATTAAATACTTTTAGGTGGACTACATTTTAGGAGACAACCCTTTAAGAATGTCCTATATGGTAGGGTATGGTCCTTATTTTCCAAAGAGGATTCACCATAGAGGATCATCCTTGCCATCCCTAACAACTCACCCTCAAAGCATAGGTTGTGATGGCGGTTTCCAACCATTCTTTCACTCCATGAGCCCCAACCCTAACATTTTGGTTGGAGCTGTTGTTGGCGGGCCAAATCAGAGCGACGGGTTCCCAGATGAACGTGATGATTATAGTCATTCTGAACCTGCCACTTACATTAATGGTGCCATTGTTGGACCGCTTGCATACTTTGCTAGTGCTCGTCATTAATTAACAGTCAGGTTTTTTTTCACTGCCTTCATTAGGAGTTGGTCTATATGTGCCAACCCAACAAAGAAAAAAATGGAGGCTTAGAAATCAAGCAAGTGCATGTGTCTTTTCTTTGTTTTAATTTTAGAAAGCTCATCTTAATCTTAAAGATTGAGGTTGGAGCTCAATGAACTATGGGAGCATTAGTGTAGTATGTTGTTACATGTAGGAATCATGTAATGATTAAGTTAATTAACTACCTCAAGTTTTGCTACTCCAAATAGAGTTCCCAAATTGTTGTTTGAGAAATTCAAATCTAATAGAACAAATCAGTAACAGCATGATCTTTAAACTTATCGAAACTATTTGCTTTAAAATATAAAGTAAAAATAATTATTGTTGAAAAAACAATATCGGTTGGATGTGGCTTTAGTCTTGTCAACAATGATAGAAACAAGATAAAAAATTTGATTACGTATATGTTACTTTTACTAGGGGAAAAGATAGAAATACTTGTAATAAATCAAACTCATCTTCTATGTATACCGATGAGCCTATCTTCTTTTTGAAAGCTCCCACCAAGTAGTTTCTTGTTTAAGAAGTTTTAAATGCTTTTTGTTGATGGTCTAGATAGGAAATTAACATATCCAAATCATTATTAATATTTAGTAGCCGCAATGTTGACCACTCTGCTCAATGAGAATTGTCCAACATACTAACCATGAGGCCTAGCAAAATTAACACTTTGGGTTCCTTAAGCATCTAGTTAGGGGCTCAACCCCCAGTAGTGTGTATCAAGGGGGTCTCATGGCTAGTACTAAAGCTCCTACCAGAATTCTATGGTGTGAGGAGATTAATTATTGATATCAGCAGTTGGAATGTCTATGATGAGAGGGGATTAATTGAAGCAGAATGTTACGCTCAGCATAGAAATGACTGGTGTTTAAAACTCCCTTCTTTTTATATTCATTTCACAACCGGTGTAGAAAACGTTACTTTTTTAGATCTATCAACAAGTTTCAGACTCCATTACAAAGAGAACTTCTTAGCAAGCCACAATATCATCTAAAGCACTTGACTAATTTTAAATTGGTCTTACTTACTTTCAATACCTTTTCGTTGTCTTATGTAATGATTCCCAAGAAGCTTTGTGATAAGATTAATTCTCTTTGTCTAAATTTCTTTTGGGGATCCTGCGGAGATAAAAATTGGATTCATCTCAAGGGACATAATTTCCTATTTACCTATTCAAGAGGATGGTCTAGGTTTTCATCCCATTAAATGTGTTAATCATACTTTGTTAAACAAATCTAGAGTATTGTGCACCGTCCTACTAATTCCCCTTATTTTCTACTTTATGAGTTAAATAGTTGGATATTTCCTCTCTATCTCTAATTAAGAAGCCTCATAATTCATTCCAACTTTAAAAGGAAATCTTTGAATGTGCTAACATTAGAGTGGATAAGACTTAAATGGCAAGTTGGGGATGACACTGGTATTCCATTTAACCATTGCAAATGCTAGCCTTCTTGTCTAGACTGCACCGACATCAACTAATATTGTTGATATGGTTGCCGATCTTATAGTGCAACCACAAGCATTGTATTTTCCATTGTTGGAATAAAGAGTTCATCCAAGTTATTTACAGGCCTTTCATAGCTTGAGAAATTTTCAACTCTCCTATTTTCATCAAGAATCACTAAAACCACCTTATCTGGATAGGCAATTCTCCTCTCCTATTTTTGTCAAGAATCACTAAGACCACTTTATTTGGATAGGCACTTCTCAAGGCTCTTATTCAAAGATGACTTTTCTTTACTTCTTTGAAGTTACATTCCTAGTATTTCTTTGATTTCGTAGTCTCATGTTATGGAAAATCCTTTGGAAACTTAACTTGCCTTACAAATTTCTACATTTTGGAAATTTTGTCATGAGGCAATTGTAGCGGCTACATACTCAAATACCATAATCTTTGATGTCTCTACACTGTCCTTTTGTTTGTCCTGCAGAAGAATTTTTGAGCATATTTGCTATTCACATAGCTATACTAAAGTAGTTCGATTTGGTTGCCTTTATCAATCAAACTGACTAAGATCTTAATGTCTGGGGTCTATAGCTAGCTATTGAATACCCTCTGCTCTCTTCCCAAGGAAACTAAATTTAGTTTGATCCTAAAAATCATTATCATTATCAACTTCATGTGGAGGTGGCATAATTTTGTTATGTATTAGGTTATTGTTCTCAATTCATCTCTTGTTAATCATTTTCATGGTTATATAAATGTTCTAGAGAATATTCGTTAATGGCCATACTAGTCTTTTGTATATGGCTCTTCCAATCAACCTTCTGCTTCACTTGGTGATTTGCATTAGTTGGATTGGAATCTATTGTTGAGGAAGCTAAAGTAAAAAAGAGTTTAATACTTTCAAGTTCTCTTCCAACAAGGTGCTTATACAATCCATGGAATCACTTTGAAGAAGCCTCACTTCTTATCTCATGAGCTCTTTTACTAGCTTGGCTAGCATGTCTTAGCTATGTTTTTTCATTGTTTTAATCTTATTCTTTTTTCTATTATCATCAACGTCCTTCACTAGCTGAATTGTGATTTGGCTTCAACTTTCTCCATCCATCATGACCATTAAGTGGATCACAAAATAGCCTTGATTCTTATATTTGTTCCTATCTTGAGCCTTTTCCAGTGTTTGTTTTCTTCTTTTCAATGACATTTTGCTATTTTTAAGGGGGTTCTCTCCATGGAACTCTCCCATAAACCTTGTAGTTTGAATATTTTATCTTTTTCCTTAATTCTTTCATATTAACAAAAAATACATTTACTTCTAAAATAATACTCTTAGAGCAAGAAAACAATATTGGCATAGTTTTTTTTTTAATATATACAAGTTTAGGTGAGTTAGGTCCTATGAATTCAAGGAGGTCAGAACACATCTCCAGGCTTAGAGAACACCTATAAAGGTATTTACAGAATGCCTACCAACAAAGTCCTCATATCGACAATAAGATTCAAACTCATGACCTCATGGGTTATGAGCCGTATTCTTACCAATTAGATAATTTCAATATTTGAAGCAATAGTGATGAAATGGACCGAAAATGCCCAACCAAGGAGAGATTTTGATCATAAAGGTTAAATGGGCCTGCACTCAAGCCCATCTGGTTTTGGGATTGGAAAAAATAATCTTTTTATAAAGTAACAGGATGTGCGATATATATATATATATATATATATATATCATATGCTTGTTACTGTCATCTAATAAATGTAATATAATTATTTGAAAATTATATGTATTTTAAGTTATTGACCACTAACTAGCCTGTATTCGTATGTGGTTTCTGGTGCTGTGATTTGAGGCTCTAATTGGGCCTTTCCTCTTGCTGGGCCTAAAATGTAGATGAAGAATACATGTGTTTTTTTGGGACAGATAATGGATAAATGTTGTTTCTGGAAGTAAGTATTGAACTTTGATTGGACCCATTCGTAATGTAATATGATTGTTGTTTTGTTTGAGGCCCATCATGAGTAACAGGCCCAATTAGAGCAAAAGTGTGGATCCGTTCATATTGTCAGGCTATCAAGCTTCGAAACCCAATTTCTGTTTGCTAAACTTAATTTTTCTAAAAGCAATTTATATTTTCACGTTCAAAATCTAATTTTGGGTGAATATTTTTCATTTTACAAAAGTGAGTTGTTTCAACGAAATACTGAATTTCATATTAATAAGACTCTTTTGATTCTTAATTTAAGACCTATTTAACTAATTTGGTTAAATTAAAGAAATCAAGTAAGTTAATTAATTATAATAAATATAACATATATTTTATAAAATATCCTAATCATCTTTCTTAATGCTCTACATCTCTTTTCTACTTGATTATTGTTAAGGAAATATTATTATGAATAATTTAGAAAAAAAATTAATAAATATGAAAATAAATTTTATATTTTAAATCAATATCAACTTTACAATGAGATCCTATGTACATTAAAAGCCGGAGGAGTATTAACTAGGAAACACGAAAGATCAAAAGAATATATCAAAGCCTGTAGACACTCACCATATCCCCATTTTAAAATGGTGGATATTCTTGTTTCTTATTTTTGAAGAAACAAGTCAAACACCCACCTCCTCATAAGAAGGAAACACACCCCACAATCATAAAATGGATTTACCACCAAAGGTTGAAAAAAAAAAAAAGGGGACTAATTACACTCACAGTAAAAAGAGAAGAATATTAAAAATTGCTAAAGACTTTCAACTTCAACCTTAACGTTACAGTTTAATGAAGGTTTATAATTTGATGAGGAAATAGTTATTGTATAAATAGAAGCATTGATTTAATGTTTAATATTTACAAATTAATATTGTCTTGTCTAGCACTTAGGGAGGAAATGCTTTTTGCTGATATAATTATAAATAAAGCTCATAATGCAGAGAATAACTTTTGTTTATATACTTCAATTGATCTAAACTCTATGGATCACTATGAAATTCCTAGAGCTAATATGTGATTGACGTCACCTCAAGCTCTGTTACTTACCGTTAATAGAAACGAAAAAACTGAGAGAATATTTTTCTGATTCTAAATATTAATTAGTTAGCTAATTAATTTTTAAAAATTGAGAAATTTACGTAAGTTGATTGTTTGTAAAAACAGTAAGTTAGTATTCCTAAAATATCCTATTTAATCATTTATATTAGAAATTATCTCATTAATAGAAACGCCCTTTATTGTGAGAAATCAATGAGAATAATTTGAAAAAAAAATAGTTACAAATTTATGAGATTAAAAAAAAATTTTCGCCCCAAAAACAAGTCAATTTCATGGACCACACAGAAAATTAAAATGTTACAAACACTAATAGCCGAAGCTAAGAGGAAGCAGCAATATAAATGCATAACAATTGATCCAAATCCAGAAAAACAATATTCATCCACAAAACAAACATTCAATCTATATGCGACAACTCATACAAGTTGAAATGTTCATGTATTGAATCTTAAACATAGTAACAACGTATTGATCTCCAATAATATCCAATAAAATCAAAGGTGGGGCTCCAAAATATCCATATACATCATCACCTGTTATATATTTGACAAAAGTTAATGC